AAAAAAAAAAAAAAATAGAGCCAAAAAAAAAAAAAAAAATCTAAGCAAGGGGAGAAGAATCAAAAATCTAGATTAACCGGTTCAGTGACTCCGGTTCAGGAACTAGCTGAAGATAAAGTTAGATTATAATCTTGAGAAACAGGGAGTTACCCCCTTGTGATTATCACTGGTATTTTTGGAATTTTCCAGTAATGCCCTCCCTAACCCCTTTGGATGATTTCTTCCCTTAAATACTCCTTTTCCCAGCTACTCAGGGTTGAACCCTCTATCCCTGCGTGGGAAATTAGTTTCAGCCCCGGTGCACAGGTTCCTGTCCTGTCAATAAACCTCGTGTGATTGCAGCAAGGACGGTCTCTCGTGAGTTCCTGAGGGGTCGTGTTATCCTGAGACTTGAGTGAGAGTCTCTCTCCTCCAGAGGTCTTTCAGATTGACCATTTATTTGTATAAAGAAGAAAACAGTCTGTGGCGGCACTACAGTTTTCTTCTTGTTTCTTCATTACTTTGGAACAGGATTAGGCCATACAGACAATATATTCACAAAGTGGTTGTGCAAGGGTGCTAATCTGAGCCTCTCGTAAACCCTTTGCTAGAAGCTGAGAAGGCAGCAGAAACCCAACTGAAAGATGGGGCTCATATTGTAGCCCTGCCTTTCTGACCACTACCTCCCAGGGATGAGACCTCTTGGCAGTTTCTACGACTTCCTTCTCAGAAAACCTCTCGCCCAGTTGTGCGGTCCCTCTGGGCTGGACTGAGAAGGCTTTCCCTTGCAACAGCTCTAGAAAGCAGTGATCGACTGAATCACAGAGATCCCCGCTGGATTTCTGCTCAAAGAGTTGGAAACACGGCCTGTTAATCCTACAGATAGCTTGATTCCATGTCATCTATAGGCCATGAATGAAAATTCAGCAAAGCTGTATCCGACTGTGAACAAAAAGTCCTGTAAGGAGTCTATGTCTGTGGAGACTGATAGGCTGACTGGAATTTCAGCACTGGGAAGAGATTGGAGTTGTGTTAAGTTCAGAGTCTAATTACTTTATCTAGGACTAGTTTTAGCCTTGTGTAACAGACATCCTTTGCCCCACCTTGTATTTGAACTAGCATCTTGTGATAATATATAAAACCTTTAGAAGCTATTGACTTGGACTTAATATTTTGTGGTAATAGATAAAAAATGTCTTAGAAGGTATTGACTTATCAAGACACTAGCTTCTACTAATCTAAGAGCAAAGAATGACATTAGAGTTTGTAAGGCCTGTAGAATAGCTCCCCTCACCTCCTTGTCCTTAACTCTCTGGTGTGCCCATCAATGCTTTTGAAACTTGCCTTGATTTAGGACTTTGTTTATTCTATAAAACTATAAAACCCAGTGAAACTGATTTTTTGTGGTGGTCATCTTTGGTCATTTTTATTTTTCTGGTGGTTTGAATAGGTATGGCTCCAATGGACTTTTGTATTTGAGTGCTTGGCCCATAGGGAGTGGCACTATTAGGAGGTCTGACCTAATTGGAGTAGGTGTGACCTTGTTGGAGTGTGTCACTGTGGGGATGGGCTTTGAGGTCTCCTATGCTCAAGGTACATCCAGTGTGGTAGACAGTTCACTTCCTATTGTCTGCAGGTCAAGATGAAGAACTCTCAGCTCCTTCTTCAGCACCATGTCTGCCTGTATGCCTATGTATCCCATCATGATGATAACAGATTAAATTCTGAAACTATAAGTCAGCCCTTATTATTAGAGTAGCTGTGGTCATGGTGTCACTTCACTGTAATAGAAACCCTAAGACAATCTTAGAACGTGGAGTTTAGGGTATCCTAAATCTGTGTTCCCTGGCAATGGTCACTGGAATGGCTCCAGAATAAACTGTCTCTGATTCCTTTTAAGATGAGAGCTGTGGTTCTTATGCTGAAGTGTGCATCCCAAAGGTCAGCACTACATCTTTCCTTTCACGGCCTGTATCCGCAGGACCCAGCAGACAACCTGACTTCTCTGGATAATAGGAATGAACCTATTTCATGGTTAATAGAAGGTTTGTACTTTGTCTCCTGCTCATTCCTCTTCCAGAGTGTGTATTTGCATTGTAATTACATTCATTTCCTAAGAGTGTATGCTTCAGTCCTTTAATTATTGCCATGTTGGATACGTATACAAATAACAGAAAATTATTGTGTTCCCCATTGAACCCCTCACTTACATTCAACAATTGTCTCTCAAGTTACAGAGTTTCATATATACACCTCTTCTTTTGTAATCTCTTGAAGGAAATGTCAGATTTCATGTACTCTCACGTCCTCTATAACACTGTTTGGGTCTA